CTGACCTACAATTTCTTATGTTGCTGCTTCTACTGAAAACCAAAAGTGTGGCAACCATTAGTTGTATTTAACTGGAGCTAGAAAAGACACTCTGTTGTAATATAATAAGACAATTTTCTAAATGGAAGGAAGCTGGTATTGAACTTAAAGTTTCACAAATTAGTTTTTGGCTGTTGTACATTTTCAAAAATTCTGGCTTGTTGTTAGATATAGGCTAGGAATGACGCTTCAGACATTTGCCTTTGAGATATCACTGCTTCACAGCACCATGCTTTTACTTTGACACTCAGCCAAAAATTATCTTAAGTAATTTTACGTAATTATCCTTGCTTATATGTCTACATTCCTCTCTCTTAAAAGTCTTTGCTTCCTTGCTACAAATAGATGTTTCTACAAAAAGTCTTGATTAGCCCTTATGTTTCAAGTAAAGGATATGCTGCCATTAATTTTAACATGTATGCTAGACCCTGTAGATACCATATTCCTGATACCTAAACCTTTCTCTCTGGAATTCATGTATTAGTGCACCCAGAATTTCACTGGTGACTCCAGGGCCACCTTTAAACTCTCGCACACCTGCGCTCTCGCAGTAGAGTTTTTTCAGTTCTTGCTTTTATCTGTGCCATTGGAGATACTCAGAACTGACCAGACGATGCCATGAGCAACGTCATGGAGGTTGGTCTGGTCCAAGCAGGGGGTTGGACACACTGCCCTCCAGAGGTCACTGCCCACCTCAGCTGTTCTCCGGTTCTAAGCAACGGTGACTGCAGCCTGTCTGCACGACCAAAGCACCGCAGGGCAGTGCGGGCCGGCAGGGACCTCGGGAGGTCTCCAGTCTGACCCCTGCCCAGAGCAGGCTCAGCCGTGGGGTCAGACCGGGTTGCTCAGGGCATTATCCCGTGGGGGCTGCAAACACCCCAAGGAGGGAGAGGGCACCACCACCTGGGCCCCAGCCCTGCCCAGCTGTTCTCATGGGGAAGAAACTTTTCCCTATCTCCAGCCTCTCTGGACCTGCCAGCTCATGGCCCACCAGGGCCTTCTCACCAGAGCTGCCCCTGGTCTCACTGGCATGGCTGCCAGGGCTCTGCCTGCCCGGCAGACCTGTCCTTTCCTCCCACCGGTCCAGGTCCCTCTGGACAGCAGCCCTGCCCCTGTGCATATCAACTGCTTTCCCCAGGGTTTTGTGTCACCAGCCAACCTGACAGGGTGCACTTGGCCATCTTGCCAGGTCATGGATAGAGATGTTGAACAGGATAGGCCCTGGGGCAGACCCTGAGGGACACCATGGGGCACCAGCCTCCAGGCAGATACGAGCCAGTGACCACCAACCTCTGAGCCTGACCACCCAACCAGGTATTTACCCCCTTGGTGGGGCACCCGCCCAAAGCCAAACATCCAGCTTGGCTACAAGGACATTGTGGGAGAGTGCTGGAAACCTTGCTGAAGTCAATGTAAATGATATCCCGTTCTCCACTTGTCCGCAAATCTAGTCATTTTATCACAGAAAGCAATGAGGCGGGTGAAGCATTATTCACACTTAAGTCATGCCCTGCCGACAGTTCCCCCTCACCTTCTTCTCCTTCATATGGCAAGTCATGTGCTCCAAGAGGACTCATGCCATGACATGAACCTGCAGTTCCCCAGATTGTCTTCTGGCCTTTTTCTGGTTGTCAGGGACCTCCTCCAACTACATGACAATAAAGATAGGAACATCTAAAAGAAAGGAACAATTACCAGTTGCCATTCCATGCTGTTTAGGTGGAAATTTCTCTTTCCACTGATCTTTGCTTTGAAAACCTGCCCTATGCTAATTGAAGTTTATGAGCTCGAATATACATATATTATAATCAAATAATAGAGCTACCCTGCTAAAAGTTCTTGCAGGGTAGCTCTATTGTTTTAGTTAGAACTGAAGTCAGACTTACTTGATGGTCATTGTCAGGATTGTGTCCTGTTTCATACTTCTGAATTTTAATTGAAGTCTTCTGTGTTTGAAACCTCTGGACATGCATATGAACAGCATGGCTTTGAGAAGCAAGATAATTACTTCCTTTAACCAAAGTATCACGAGTGACCTTGTAAATAAGGACATGCTGCCATTGAGTTTCCTTGGTGCTTTGCCCAAGCAGGAGGTGTAAGAGTGTAGCTCTATGTCATGACAGAGGTAAACCACACAACCATGTTCTTTTCACAAGAAAAAAATACTCTACATACTAATGCATGTGGTTTATCCCTCTCTACTGTTGAAGAGAGGACAAAGCACATTCTTTGTAGGCTCTGATTAGACAACAGAGGTGAGCAACATGTCTGTATGAGATAGCCCTCATATTTTGGACCACTTTCCTTTGTCTTCACAGATCTCAGAATAGGAAGAGAAATCTTTCTAACACCTTTTCCCAGTAGAGAATGGAATGTAGACATCCTGGCACTCTATATTGGTGTATCCTACTGGTGGCTCAGGGATGAGAACATTACCAAAATACCCATTTTGCTCTGGAATAAAACTGACATTACAACATATTGATATATAGACTGGGAATATCCTCTGTGGTCCTAACAAATAAGACATTCCAGTGGATGTCTTTCTGTGCTGCCTTTGTAGGTATGCAAAGACCAGGAATCAAGATCAGGGAAAATGTGTTACTAAAAATGTGCTAAAACACTACTCTCCTTTCAAATCCATCTGGAAGAGAAAAACTTGCCCTATTCCTTTAGCTGTAAGGAACTAAAATCCTGAAGAAAGGTATTCACTGACTGCTAGATGCAAGTGAACTCCTTAAAATGTTTATGAATTCTCACATATGGGATTAAGATTTCTTAAGAGTAGAGGCTAAATTCTTATTTGAGCACATCAGAAGCATAGCAAGTCACACTAGTCTCAGCTTGAGAGGAGTTAAGTCCCTATGAGAAATGAGGAGCTAGGTAACATATGACTTTCTATCAATGACAGTCTATGATTCACCACCTCAGCATTTCTAACTCAGTAAGAAGGAAAAAGGTTTCTTCTTTATTTCAAAGGATAAAAGATAATGATTCTATCAGATACGGAACAGAAATTCTATGAAATAATCAGCAGCAATTATAGTTAAAAATTGTGCATGAATTTTATTATAATACTTTTTGTTTCCTGAGCAAGATTTACAACACAACATGCAGATGCATTTAATAATTTACTTCACTATACATTCTGCACTCGTGACAGTGCACTTGTGACAGTTGTGCAACAAAAGTAGCACTTGAGAAAGTTTCCAGCTTTCAGTAATTTCAAAAAGTGACAGCATCTTCAGTAAACAAACAGAGCGTTACTAGTTACTAGTGTCAATGTTAAGTTTCCAGTGCCTATCAAGCCAAAGTGATTAATTTCAGCAGCACATTTAAGGCTCTTTAGACTTCAAGGTAACTTCTACATTAGAAGTTTCAGCAGTGTTCATTACATTTTTTTTCACAATCTTAAGACATGAGAGTAAAAACTTAGCACTATCAGGCTCTTCTCTAATGGATCAATTGACTAAAAGCACAGAAGGAAATAATAATGGTAGGAAGACAGGCAATCTCAGTACAAGTATGTCAGCATAATTTTGACAAGTTCTTTTGATGAAGCGCTGAGCTCACTGCAAGAGCCTTACATACCACATACAGAAAAAAATGGCTCCACAAAATGTAATTACTTATTCAGCCAGGTAATGCTGGTGATGTTCATTCACAAAAATGGTGCGCAGCTGTACAATTCCATGTACAACATGCAGTACAGATATACCACTGACTTCAAGGTAACACACACCAACCATGTGTCAAAACTAAAAGAAATGGGTCTGGATTAACCTGACACCACACTGCTCTACATGCTAGTAAGAAAGAAAGTTTGAGGCATACAAACAGAAAATGTGTTTTTATTTTCAAGCAAAGCAAAGCTGGAGATGTGCTAAGATGAACTAAGAAGACTTCCAAGATTATTGACTAGAATTCACTTATTAAAATGGTAATCACATTAGTTCATAGCTGTGCTCATCTCTGAATTAAGGATTACTAAATATACTAATGGCAATGTAAAAAAAAAATTACTGCTTTGTCTTTTAGTTTGGCGTCACCTTGGTGTTCTTTAGGAAGGTCTAATACTTTAATCTGAACCATATCCTAACAATGGAAAAAACAGCAGCAGTTTACAGACAGAAAGACTGACAACTGCTGCTGAATGAAGTTTTCTGTTTTGTGTTTTGAACGAGCTCAATTACGCTGGATCACTGAACACTTCACTGCAGGATGACCCAACAATCTGTCATAGAGTATCCTGGCTGGTACTTACATACACAAAGCTGCTTAAACCATGACCCAGTTCCCCCGTGCAGAGTGCTCCTATTTAAGCTCCTATTTAACTCAATAGTTTGCACACAAGAATAGCACTTTGTAGTATATTAAAAATCCCAAACACCTTTAAATGCTCTAAATGAAGGAGACAGTAGTGTTAAAAAGGGAGATAAGGAAAGATGTATTTCAGATTTGTACCATGTACATACGAACAAACACTTTAAGAAACCTTTTGAAACTCTTGGAAGGACCCCATTCCACAAGCCCCATGATTAGAGGACGTACATATTGTTGTCTGTGGAAACATTAAAAATACTGACAAACCAGAATAGGTAAAAGCTGACACACACCTAAAGGAAGTCTCTGGGGCAAAGAAAATTAAAATGCTTCCCTTTATTGTACACAAAAACGTTCAAATTTATCTACTAAGCCCATAGGGCAAACGAACCTCTTGTAGTATCCACTTTTACTGTTAAAAAAACACACAGAAGAGGTGGATTCCTTAAAATCATGCCTGTCTGGCTAAGATGATATTCCCTCTAACAAGACCCTCCTGCTTCAGACAGACTGTAGTGTTACTGTGCACCTAACATTCCATCCCCAGTCAAGTCAATGATTGTCATGATTGTGGTGGTCACACTGACAGATTTCTTTTCGTGCAAGACTGCATCAGTACACATTAGTAGTGGAGAACTTTAAAACGTCATGAGCATATCACGTTCTTGCATGCTAGTGTAGAACGGCCTCCCAAAGATAAAGGAATGTAGACCTGGTTTAATCTTCTCAGCCAAAGCCATTATTATGTTAAGATCGCCCTCTGCTGTTAAGTCAAGATCTATCTTTAAGCTGCGAAGAGACTTAAAAGGTTTTTTCCCTTTTTGCCTGTAAGAAAATAAAAAAGAGTGTTGGAAAAAAGAACAGAGGACGTTTCTCCATGCCTGGTTTCTATTACCTGTTCACTTACGTGTCATCCTCTATGTATTTTATTAAAGTTAAGGCTTTTCTGTGAAGGACTAGCAGAAATTGTGCAAGGAAAGTACTCCTTAGAGACAAGCCAGGCTTCAGATGAAAGATCTGTTAAAAATTATACCAGAAAATTAAGTATAAAATGGAAATTCAAGAATCATTTTAAGAATGTGGAATATACAGAAACATTGCATACACATATAACATATCCTTAATTATAGCAAAACAGGCACATTAATAGCAGATATACTCCACATTCATTCTTAGTTTTCTAGCTGCTCAGCTGCAATAAATTAAGCTAGTTTACAATTCTGTTTGGATAAAGTATTATTTCCTTTTTAAAATTACCTGAAATTAATCCTAGTCACGTAGATTTCTCAGTACTGTAATTGTACACACTTGCACAGCAACAGAAAATGTGCATTGCTTTTCACATGTAAGAAGTTTCAGTATTCTACTAATACTACAATAACACCAGTATTTTTCTCACTAGTTATGCAGAGAAGAATCATACCATTAGTATGAAAAAGAGCTACCAAGCCAGCAAATTATTTATTCATGTTAAATTATCTGTTGCTAGGGCTCAAAGTACTGAACTTTAGTTCTTGTTCTTTCTGAAAAAGCAACAATTACCTGGTCCAGGAAGGCTTTTACTAATGTATCTCGATGAAGGATATCTTGAAAGACATTTCTATTAAAATGAAAGCAAACAAACATGTGAGGTAATGGCGTGAAGGGACACTAACTGTCCAGAAGTTGTGCACAGCAATAGCATTACTGTTTACAATCTGGCAGAAATTAAAAGTGAATTCAAAATTTTAGTGAATTATAATCCTGCTATTTTTAAAGGTAATACAGAAATTTGAATCCAAACTTTCAAATGAAGAGAACTAAACCCAGGAAAGCCACTGGGCATCATCAAATACACTTAGCTCTGTTATACCCCTAATTAAAACAAGAATAAAATTAACATTAACGTGGTCAGAAGTATCACTGAAAATGAATGTCAATAATATTTAATGTAACAAAACTACTGATGTAACTGGTAAATTCCTCCAAAATAAATGCACCTTCCAGAGCTGAAGGAGCTACTTAAAAGCCAAAAAATCTCATGTACTTTACTTGAAAGTACACTTTGTACTACTTTACTCTCTTGTCCCAAATCAAGTAACTTTGAAAGATGCGAGAGAAGAGTACATACAAATCAGGTGTGAAACTCTCATCTGTGTGTATAATATGATCCTGAGACATTTCTTCATCTGAATTAGCTCTCCAAAATGCTGTCAGCTCAGATCTCATATATCGTCGTTGGTTATAGATGTGTTCATGACAAGGGGGCATTTGCTTCACTGTATTGACATCTACATCTATATGTGTAGTAGGATATGGGGCATACATTACTTGACGGAAGGGCAACACAAAGCTTCCTGTTGCATCCTGTTTTAGTGAAAAAAATCATTCTTCTAGTTACTTTAAAAAAAACATCACAAAGTTACATTGGACAAAACAATATTAAAGCATCATGCCTAGATTTTAAATCCCATTTGTTTAGACATGTTTTGTTTTGAGAGAACTGGTGACTGTAGCCCAGTAAAAAGTCCTTCATACTGGATGATTCCCTTAACGTAATAGTGAAAACAGGTACTGAAGTAACCTGTGTATTACAATATTGCATCATCTGTTTTGTGAGCCCATTAACATTACAGTACTGTATTTATCTGGTAAGTTTAGGCTGCTCGCTAGAGCAAGAAACATTATTTTTCTATTCATCTTCACCTGTTGCTACAGCCTTTTTAAAATATCTGGAAACTGTAGGACTGATGGACTGTTCTTTTTTTTTGGTACAGCAAAAAACCTCAATGCCTTTTGGGATTCTAGCCCATTCCATTGTACCTCAAAGTACAGAAACAATTCTGGACAATACTCACGAAACAGATGTGGCAGAAAAAAGACTGGCTTGGAATTTTAGCACGTAAATAGTTACAAGGAAAGCTATAGCGCAAGAAAGGAATCAAGGGAAGATGACATACTTTGAACACGAATGGGTGTATGTGTGTCCATATCATACGCACACACATACACATACACTGAAGAATGTTCTTAAACTACAGAAGAATAGAACTTATCGTAAGCGTACTTACTTTGAGTAAGCCTTGAACAAAAAGTCCCGACTCGTATTTGAAAGAAGACTCATTTCTACAGAGCCTGGAACACTTACGCTCTGAAGGCTTAAGAAACAGACACAATGTTCTCACAATCTGCATTAAAAAGAACAGTTTTGAAAAATATGAAAATGTAAGGAATGAACTGATCTTCAACTGCAATTTCTGACTAGAATGTAAAAAAAGTTCATAAAGCTTTTTAGAAAACGCCAAAATTTTACCAAGGTCACAGAATAGTGACATGCTTAAATTATTATGCTGTAAGCCACATTATTCCAACTTCTTGTAAAATGAAGAAAAGATCCAACACTTTTTGGCAATGTTTGTTTTACAGCCAACTATGTAGCACAAATCACTTTTTCCTGCTGCTATGTCTTCCTATTACATAAACATGAGTTACTGTGATTACTTTCCCAGCCTTTTAAGCCTCTTACTTTATTCATTTCATAATGAAACAGCAGCTATTGTCTCCAATCAGGCACTGTCAATTTCCTAAATAAGTATCCATGCTTATTTCCTCAGTAATTTCCTCAAACTCTCCATTAAAAGCAACAAAGGTACTTCATTATACATTTTCAAACTCCTGTGCTGCAACACAAGTAATCATCTCCAAATACAAACATGTATTCCATTCTGCTAATCTTTCAGTCTTAATCTGTGGTGTCCTATGGGTGTCTCTAAGATGTTTGAGAAGGCTCTGTCCTTGCACAATGTGTTTATGCAGTACCTTAAATAATGACAACCTAGTTTCTGACTAATGCTTTTTGCCACTTCAGCAAGATGCAACAGGGTTTTTTTTTACTTCAAGGAAAGCTAAAGTATGCCATTAAAGAAAGCAGTTAGTTCATAACAGCTGCATCATGACACAAAGAGCACACTGCTGATAAGAACCTGTGCAGAATTTATGAAATTTACCCTGGATGTATATTGAGACTCACCTTCTTCTAGACTGCATTTTTCCTACACTGTCTAGCTTATCAATATATTATTTTACATACTCATAACCATTTAGACCTTAAAGCCTTTTAATTAATTATTTAATGAACTATAAACTTTCAAGCTTTTTATAACCATTTAAACCTTTAACATTTCCTCTATTATGCTAACTTAATCATGTGCAAATCTTACATCCCTGAAACAATACATATTAACGGAGGTTAGTTGATTTCCGCTATGAACTGAGAATTTTCTTTTCTCTGGTTCTCCTGTTACTCGTGATTATTTTGAGGATCAGCATTTACTGTTCATTTGACCAGAGGTGCTTTCCCATCACTGCCAATATGCACAAAACAATCCGTTCCCCCCGCTCCACCATTTTCATAAAGCATCACAAACTGCTTATTTCAAAGCACAGGTTCACTGAAGGTGCCTTGAATTTTGTAAAAAGACGGCTATTATATTTCACGGCAGCAAGAAGCCCTACATGCTATAAAATACCTAACATATAATATGTATAGTCTACCATTAATATATAATACATTCAGCAGGCCCGCTGTTCTTAATTTTTACTTCACAGTGAAGCACTACACACAGATACATACAAAAATGCATAAACCTGGAGAATTAAAACGAGTTTTTCCTCAAAGGAAGGTGGTCCTTTCCAACCTCAGTGATTCTGTGATTCAGTCTTACAAAATAAACCAGAGCTTAATATTAGTACATCACAATTAAAAGCATTATTGGATAGAAAAGCCCAATATACAAGGGCTTTCCCTATCAGAAAACGAAGTTACCTGCATGTACAGCTTCTCCACATGTACCGCTGCAGCACCCTGTCTCTCAGGACGTGGGACTATTGTTATTGCATGGCCCAGAGGCCCCAGTGTAAATTGAAAACTTGGAATGCTACAGAACTGCACAGAACCTTTCCCTCACAGCAGTATTGATGTACTCATTAAGTGCAGCTGCACCTAATACCTGAAGGTTCTAGGATTTACACTTTTATGAAAGCCTTCATTTCATTCCTAGTTGCAGGGATATTCTGAATCAAAGAATTTATTAAAGGACTCAGCCACGAGTGTAGAGAGGCAACTGATTTAGTGAAATACATTTTCTCACAAAGAAAACAGCATTTTCTTCATGATTTGCCTCTGAATATCCTACCTGAAAATTAACTTCAGTGTTTTATTAGAAGGGATGGAGTAACACCCTAATTAAATGCAAGTCAAAGGGCAATCTCTCTGAACAAAATGCTGATACACTGCACTATGATAAAAGGAAATATGCTTTAAGAAATACTTCAATGGACAGTAAACACAAGTGTGTGTCTTTCAGGAATTGCTTTCAATTTATCTGAAACTAGCATTTTGGTATACTCAAAAAGCTACATACAAAAAAAGTACTTGGAAAATTCTGAATGAGGAAAACATCCTCATTTGATTTTTCCTTCACATACTGGGTAAGCTTAAAAGAAGCATCAAGAAACTCTCCATTTACACCAAAATGTTATAGGAAAAGCAGTGCAGGTGATAGTTTCATATTGGTTCAAATATTTCATAACAAGCTTATAAGAGCGTTAAAAACAGTAACAGCATGGGAAAAATGTCTACCACAAAAACGTGATTATTTTCTTGTTCTGAAATGACAGCTTCCAAGAGTAACCTTTTTTCCTCCCAAATAGACCATAGTGATGTATACACTCTTCCCCATTGAGAAGTACAGCTAATGCTGATTATTGTTTCTAGACCTGAAAGCTCCTAAACATCCCTACTGATATGCTCCAGCAAGTATGAAACACTGAGTGTTTTGTTGCTACAAAACTCAGTTTTAGGGGTTTATATCTGTACTTTGCCTCCTTCTGGTTCTTAGGGAAAGCTGAGTCAAACCTAATTTAAGATCTACCAGTTAAACTTCACACTTATTTACCAAGGAGTTTTAAACAGACTGAAGATGAACTCAACACAAACACAGCTACAAAGAAAAAAACACTGATATTGCTGGAATGGTTTAAGGTCCTAGTAAGCTTGCCTGTTTCAATAATGTGTGTGTGACTACAGACTCAACAACTTTGAGGTTCCATGAAACACAAGCAGTTCCTGATGCAGAAGCACATTTATTCCCGGCATAAGAGAAATTATGCAGATACTAATTTCTGAAGAGTACACAGAAAATACCCATTGACATAGCTGAACTGGGCAAGCCAGTTCAGACCCCTTCAATTTGTACATTTTAGGTAACAAACCTAATTTTAAAAGCTCAGACTCTTTACTACTCAGTTATATACAGTATCAATTAAATTAAATACATTGGTTTTCTTACAGTTGTCAGAATACAACTGATATGGCAATTTTCAGGCAGAACTATCAACTGCTAGGCCAATCACCTAAAGTAAGATAACCAGACAACAGTATTTCTGCCTACTTCAACCTCAAGTACGTTTATAAATAAACCTTGGAACAAGTAACACACTAACACTCCAAATAATCAGCATTTAAGTTTGGTTTATTAGAAAGTGCATCACCTTATTAACTTTTTCTGCGCTGCTTCCTACAACTACAGAACAACCACAGGTCTGCAGGTGTGAACTAATTGCACTGCAAATAAAAACAAACATAGGTTAATACACCTAATAAGACTTTTCAAATACAACAATTGTCATATTCACAAGAAGACTGAAGTGCTCCCAGAATAAATATAGGCCCATATAGGCTTATTCCTATAGGACCTCACATAGCTGTGTAGGTTACTGCTGAAATCCAAAAGTTGAACAGTATCTACATTTTCATTTTAATGAATAAAAAGACTGTCACTCAGAACCTCAAAACACCGGTTGTCTCCTGCTACTATTTTAACTGTATTACAGAATCTGTATAGAATAATTCATCTAAAGTAACAGATGACATATTAATAATGAAGGATTTGAAAGCATCTTGAAAGAAGATCTATTTAATGGTTGTCCTCATTTTCTGAAACTGTGGATCAGAACCCAGTTTTCGGAGACTTTGCAGGTGAACCGTTCTACTCTTAGGAACTATATAGGCAAGAGCAAGTCATAAGCTTGAGTCCCTCAGAATACACATAGACATGTTAGAAATTGAGTGACCTTGTCTTGTGAGTTGTCAGCAGCAGAGAGGCTGCAGTAGATATACCTGGACTAACCTTGACAACTCTTAACATGTCCTTAAGAAATTTCTGTTGAGGTTTCTTATACTCATCCTCCCTTTCCCCTTCACTTTCTCAAACCAACACCTGGCCCACAGCTTCCAAAGGCTAGACACTCTAGAAAGTCTAGATACTATTAAAAATTTTTCTCCAATATATGTGAATATACAAAAGTACATTTTTGCTATCTTATGGAAGGATGCATTGCATGTGATTAACTGGTTCTAATAAACACCTCTTACAAAGACTATAATAGTTACACTCAGACTCTGAAATCCTACAGGTGGACTTTATAGTGGACCTGCTACTATTTATCTTATCAAGTATATTCCAAGAATAAATTCAAGGCCAGCTAAGTACTTACAAATTCTTCCTTTGGGGCAGAAATAGATTGAGTTTCATTTAGAAGTTACTATGAAAGCATGACTGCTTATTTTAGAGGTTGGTATTGTTGATATGGCAGTTTATTTAGTTTAATCCATTTTTTAATCAATGACATGTATAACTTCATAAAACACTATATTTAAGACTTGAAATCTGAACCTAGATGAGCTGATAAGCTTTGCAGATAAGGTAAAAAGCAAACATACCATTAATGACTCTTATTCATAGTTTATGCAGTAAACACAACCCAGGTTTTTTGGTATTTCATAAAAATTTAAGACTTTGACTTAGAATTAAACATACATATCAAAGAAAAACTACATTTGCTAGGAATTCTATTATCAAGGAAATGACTCTGTGACAACATAGTCCAAAGAGATGCAGCTATTAGCCTAGAGCCATTCTTCTAAAAAGAGAGCAACTTCTACAGCATTTTACAGGCAAAAATCTCTAAAAGCCCAGTACATGCCATCTTCCCCCCTCCTATAAACTAATCTAATACATGTTCACATGCACATACAGATAGATATAGATATACGCACACACACTTTTAAAGCATTTTACTACAGCATAAATCAAAACTGAAGTTCATACTTGAGGAGAAAGCCTTCATGGCAACTATCCCCAATGTCATCATCATTTAGCACTGTGTCACTTATCTGAAATGCAAGTAAATATAAACAAAGGTTAGATAAGGATCTGCAACACCATCCAATTATTTTTGTTTTTAATGATAGGTCGGAACTGTTTGAGTACTATTTAAGCTAAGTTGTAAGACTGCCCAAAAAAGCATAAACCTTTCTGACTTCAGCCAAAGCACTTTGAAAATGAGAAAGTCACTTGATTATTAAATGTTCTTCATCAGTCACAAGTCAGATTCCTTCCAGCGTTTTTTTTTTTTTCCTATAACCTTGTCCAGAATACTTAAATTAATGCATGTGAGATCACTTCCGCTTCTTCCAGGAGAACACCACACTGAAACCGGTATCAACATTAAAACCATTTACCTACCCATTCATTTTGTTTTGCATTTCCATTCCACTCTTAAAAATGGTATCATTCTACGCAGTCAATTTTGCTAAGTGCTGACCATAAAACCCACTGCTAGTACGGTTACATTTACCGAACTAGAATAGTTACGTTAAACCATTCCCTACATCACTTAGGAGAGCTTGACGTGAAATAACTGAAGCGTACAGGAATTTATGACAACTGCAGAGTTTTGTCTGCCAAAGAGAGTATCAAACTAGAATGTCAAAGCCACTTTTTTATTTGGAATGCAAAGAACATAACGACTTACATCTATGTCTTCCGGAACACTGTGTGATTTCATAGATGAAAGGAGTTCCATTACAGGAATGACTTCTCCTGTCAGCATTGGAATGATGCTCTGGCCCTGCGCAGTAAATAAAATGCTTGAAGTAAAAGCACATTGTGCAGTATCAGAAGTTACTGCTAACATGAACTTGCAATATTACATTCACAACATCTTTAACTTCCTATTGTTTGGAAGTCTGGTATTGAGCACAAATTGATGCATAGACCTCTTGGGCTTTGCTCATCAGTAATTATGAACTGGAAACATACATTTTGCTTCTCAACATCATGTCTAAAATGTATTTCCAGGGTCCTATGCTAATTTTCACAATCAGTTTGATTTGCCTAGACAAGAAGTATTTGGAGTGAGATAATTTGTTCATACCATATTATGCACAATTATCCTTAAGCATTTTAGATTCAAGTCTGATATTTTAACGACGACAAGAAACCAAAACCAGGCATATTAGTTACTTACATACAAAATGACTTATCTGATTTATCTATCACAAGAAACTGAAGCCACAATTTCATTATTTACAGTTTCAGAAATAAATTCCTTTAACAGTGTTATCCATTACGTCTCCAACCCCATTCCAACATGGCAGACTTTGTACATCTCTGTGACTCAAAAAGGTAATACCCTAGTGAAAAACCATCCTTGACAGGAAGCGAGCATGAATCTATGGAAGCTACTACCTTTACAGAGCTTCAAGTTCAAGTAAATTACTTTCCTTTTCTGAAAGGTAATATTCTTCATAGATTTCCACTTTACCCATAAAGTGATGAAATATATTTTCCTTCAATGTTCAGAGATTCCATCATCCTATCTTCAGAAACTTTGCCTCCTGTCCTTAGCAGGTCATCAGCCAGTCCACAGTATCTTCTGGATCCCAAAGAAGCAGCACCAACTTCTACAGTCACCAGATGCCGTCAAATAGTTTTGTGATGGTGTGCCATACACATCAACCAGATGGCCCTTACCTGATCCTCCATTCTCTCCGTGCCTTCCAAGACAATCTTCTGGAAATGTTCTTGCCTCTCCTGAGCAAGAGAAGCAGTTAAATATAAACGCTCTGATATTTTTTTATATACGTATGCACACAACAGTCAAATGGTACAGTTTCTTCCCTGTGGAGTCATGCTTCTTAGATTCAAATGTCGATGTTCAAGTCTTTTTTTCTTTTACAGAGTTG